CCCCAAAACCCCAAAACCCCAAAACCCCAAAACCCCGCGACTTAATGCAATTATTGAACTCATCTATAAATCTGCCTTATACATTACTTCCAAGAAGTAGGAGCTATAGGAAAGACTCCCATCTTGACTCCTAGGAATATTTCATTAACCCCAAAGTATGAAGTTTAAGTACCTTCAAAAGATGTCTATCTCAGTGGCACTGATAGCCACTCTTCTTCTAAAAACTTAAAATAAAAAAGCTAAGCCGGAGTCCATACTTGAATTTTAAGAAATTTGTCAACTGATTCTGAGGCCTGAGTTTACTCAATGTATTATCTAAGAAATTGGAAATACCACCAGGCTTTTATTGAAGTATCAATCCCGATTCGGTCAATATCCTCTTGACATTTCCTTCTCGAAACCCATTAGGTATTGTCTAAATTCGACGATGGGTTTCGAAGTTATTTATAATAGAGAAATCGTGACAAATGCTCTAATTTTGGGCCTTTGAAATTAAGAACAATTTCAAGTAAAAGTCACCAAGATTTGTACGGAAGATGGCCAAATGTTCTGAGTCAGAATCTAAAACTCTTGAGGCTTAGAAGAAATGGTTTTGGAGCATCCCCTATTGGTGGCCTGATCCTTTATGCCATTTGTATGGATTTCAGAACTTGCATAGACTATATCTTGGAATAAATTTACTCCTCTTTGAGATCAGAGATTCATCAATGAAGTTTCATTATTAGTCTTGCAATAATGGAGTAGAGAGTTGGAGGAATCAAGATGGCCTTTTGTCGAAGACCAATCTGATTCTTTTCTACTTTAAACATAATAACATATCTAAATTTATTTCCAGATGCTGACAGTCTTACAGGGACTAGAAAATTATTGAAAGTCTTCCTTCTTTCAGAGAAACATCGCATCTCAAACTTATGATAAGTCTGTAGTTATCCAACTTTCAAAGGATACATATTGTGAGCATACTCAGATGCAATATGCTTGGAACTATAAGTGATTTGATCACCTTCTGTTCCTTGATTCTCTATTCTTGCATTGAGTCCCCAGTGGTTATAATTGTCCAAAGAAAAGTTAAAACAACAAATGTTCTAGAAATTTTGGGACCCAATGAAGAAGAACTTATTTTCAGATTTCTCTTTTATTACATTTTGATATGAACCTTATTAATTCTTGGTATATGGCTACCGCTAGTCTTGTCTGGTCCAATAGAGCACAAAGGTGGCTAAAACTTGGCCAAATTTTGAGAATTAGCTAAAAAAGATATGAGGCATCTAGCTTAGGTTTGGAAGTCTCTTGGATAATTACATTCAAGTTATGTGAGCTCTCTTGAAGGTTTCTATTGATAGGACCTCATCATTTAGTCTTAGAGTAATGGTTTTGACTAGGAGATCAGGAATTTCTGCCTCAGAAGGTGTAGACAAAGTACTTGTATTCATTAAGAATTTGGAGAGTTAAATCGATGAATCTAAAATATTACTAATTCCAAGAAATTTTTGATTCTAGTTTCCATGAATCCCTCTCTCACGAGTAAACCTGGATGATACAGTGAGTCTAGGGCGTAAACATGGAGATCATTGCCAAGCTACTTAGCCTCACTAGGTCTCCTCCAAGTGCAAATAAGAGACTCGATGTCTCCCACAATCGCATCACCAAAAGCAAGAGCCTTGCTGATACTCATTAAAATATCTATGAGACGTCTTCTTTTTGGTGTTTTGGCAATCATGGGAAGTTGGTACTGAAAGAACTAGAACTCTCAGTTCATCATACCATTGATATCTATTTATTGTTACATGTTTAGCCAAGCAGAGGTCATCCTAGCCCAAGATGGTAGATGCCTAGTCTTTGCCAACAAGTTTCCTTTTCAGACAAACCCGAATGAAAATGTGACTAAATTAATATTTTCTTGATCTATGGCTAAAATTGTCATTACAATAATACATAAAATTCAAAATTTGTCCTTTGAGTCAAGTTTTAATCTCCAGTCTGATACTTTTGAATAATTGAGATGACCAGAAATCATGAAGGTTATATTTCATCCATGAATCACTAAATTTTCATCAAGAATCCTGGCTGGCCTGGTGAATTATCCGATTAGTTACTCAACCTTGCTGTTGCAAACTTAGACGACGATCTGATCTCCAGGAGAACCCTAAGTGTGGAGTTGGGGTTTTATCACTCTGTTATAGCATTACTTCACTTAAAAACACTTGCTAAGTTTCTCTTTTGCTGGAAATTTTATTAAATTTTGATTCATGAACTTTTTTATTAACAAAAACAAGTGAACTAGTTTACTAGAGCCGAGGTTTAGCAAGAAACTTAAAAGAAACCTCAGAATAAGATAAACTAGCTCTTCCAAGAATATTATGAGGCACTGAAAAGCAGCAAAAGATCCTATCCAATACTTGGGAGGGCTATACTAATCCATTGATGGCTAATTTCTCCATATTGTGCATCCAGAAGTCACTAGACTTGGCAAGCTGGGATATCCTCTAAAACTAATCGGAATATGCACATAATTCATGCAGGAATATTGGCAATGAGTTCATAATGTTTTGACTTCCAGAAGGAAGACCCTCTATATGGTCATCAGAGGTTACTTCATTTTGGACTGCTGCTTAATGAACTATTCATAGTGCTTGCTAGAAATTTCGAGAAGCCAACTCTTTGTTCAAAGTGGAAGAGGATGTCTTCTTATTTATAGTGAGAAGCTCTGATCATTATCCAACTCATAAACTGGCTATAGAAATCCCACATCTTCAGAAAACAGTCCTACTTTAAATGTCGGAGAAGAAGATTTTAAACTGTAGAGGTGAACTCTTGTTGGATGTGGCAGAACTCAGACCAGAGCTGTTGCAGTTCTGGCGTTGTAGGCAAAGAATTTGTTAAATTTTGCACACATTTGACCATCTCTAGTGACGACGAAGTATTCTGATTAAAATTTACTACTAACAATATTTCTCAGTAAGAACTCTAGGAGTAAAGAGAGGCAGATACTATTTTCTTCAAGTTTAAACTATAAAATTATTGTACAAATGTAGCTAATTACAAACAATTGGGAGACTTATGCAGTTATCATACCACCAATAATTTGCCTTGAGATAACTTTTTATCACAAATAACTCTTGTTGACCTATGACTTATCAGTTCATTCTGAGGCATCTAGATCTGGAATAAGTCCAGCTTATCTCTCTCAGTATCCAAGTCGCTAAGTCGAGAGTTTTATGGCTCTCATTTGTTGCTAACTTAGCCTTAAAAGGGTATCCTAAATTTTTCTCCAAAAATGCTCTTATTTTCCTCATAAAATTTCCAGAAATAGGCTGACAAATATCAGAAGAATATAGTAAAATGTTTCTAGATATTAGTAGAGTCTAAAAGCTTATTTTACCACTCTCGCTTGCATGCCTGCCAAAACTAGTCACAGACTTCGTCTACATGAATTAGTAAACTACTAAAAATTTAAGAACATTAAGTTGGAGGAAGCCTTACTCAAGTTCAGAATCTAAGCCTAGCGAATAACAGTTTTGATGAAGGACCTGGCTATCCTAGTCGTACTCGATGGTTTGGTTAAAATCTCCCAAGTGTTCGTAAGAAGAACAAAATTATAGGAGTCACTATACTTATAAGAAACTGGTTACTATACAATAATAACAACTTGCATGAGAAATTGGAGGAAAGACATCCCATAATTTAATAAAACAATGAAGCCTCAGAGCAAGGCAGCATGCTTCGTTAATTTTTATTCAACTGTCCAAGTTGGCAGGTATATCGATATAAGTCCTAGGCTAGACGGGAAATTTTGCATGAATTTTATTGGAATAATACTCAGAAGGTTAAATCATAAGAAACTGCAGGATCAAGAATCACTATTTATTAGCAAGAAGAGGGTGGACTAATATTATTAAGAAGACTCACTTCTCGATTTAATGACACCATTAGAGACTGACCAGATCTAGTAATGGTTTCTTGTAGTGTTCTTATATAACTTCATTTAGGTTATTTTATAGTCAAGAGGAATAATAATATCCAAATATTAATAAATAGTGATTCATGGTTCGATTTCAAAGAGGTGGAGTCAGAACTTTTGCCAATACAGTGAGGCTCAACTCCAATATTTTTGCATAAATCTAAGCCTTGCTGCTTTATAAGCTTAAATTGCCACTCAAATTTTATCCTGGCCTATCAAATTTTCATATTTTATCTAAAAATAGCTCCTCCATCAACCTTAGTGACATATTAAGTTTCTAAATTTACTCATGGCATTGTTGTCATAGAGACACTTGCGACCAAAGCTTTGCTTTCAAATGCTTGCTCATCAGGAAATGAGCTGGAGCAATCTTACAGATCAACTTTGAAAGATTTCATAAATTGAGTTATGAATAAACAAGAAGATTATAAATATCTAGGTTTTCTTTGGACCTCCGGCTAATATTTGCCAAGGTGATATGAGCAAGCCAACCAATAGAATTTCTCCAGTGCTTAGCATTAGCTAGGATGAAGTTCATAGTTTTGCTAAAAGAATCTGACAAAGTTCAAAGTCTGGCATTTCCAACAACCTACTAATGTTGCCAAAATGGAAACTACAAGTGTAGGTATATCTGGCAATAAGAATTTGGGATGGAATCTCTCCTAAATTATTAGCAGCCTGCTTCGAAGTTGTTTGCCTCGAAGATACAAGAAATTATGTGCACTATAGAAATTTAGTCATAAGATGAAGAATTATTAAAGGTTTTGGAATTTGAGAAACAAATTTGAAAATTAAGAATTATTCACAAAAGAAGTTTGAGAATAACTTTAGAGAAGTATTTAGAGAATTTGATTATAACAATTAGCTTAATTTAGCTCTGAAAGGAGAAGCCTCAAACACTCCTCCTTTCTGGTTGAAGCTTTCCATCATTTCGAAGATATCTTCGGCTCTCCATGAAAAGTTGGTAGGAGCCTTGTCGTTGTGCAGCATCAGCGAGTAGAAGTCGAAGGTGATCGCTGCATCGACTTCGAGAGGGTAGCTGCCCACATAAGTCTTCTTTCCTCCAACCACGATCAGGGTCTGATAGTTCACCGAGTTCTTGGTTACTCCTGTGAACCTGGTTCTTCTCTTGCTGACTCTTTTAGTTTTGCAAACATTGGATTTCTTCTTTGCCTGCACAAAAGGAAGGCTTGTTCCTAGTAAGGGGAACAGCTTAGCTTTCAGTTTTTCTTGATGTTTAGAGAAGTCATATGTGTGAATTGTCTTTACTTGCTTCTGATATTTATATTGAGATCTCCCAGAAACAGGCATCATTTGTTGTAATTGGCTCTGGAGTTCACAAAGACAGAAGTCGCTGAAAATATTGAAGATTGGATTCATTTAATTATGATAAAATTCTCTATATTTATATGCTATCTCGGGGTTTTGGGGTTTTGGGGTTTTGGGGTTTTGGGGTTTTGGGG